TTGGATGAGTTATACCAGATTATATCCTTAGCAGAATCTCAAACTCTGCACACTGATTTACATGTAACTTACAGCCTTCTTGAAAGCTTCAACCATTCCTGGTTTAGATATGTTCTTGGCATACAGGTCCCAGTTAATTGGCTCTGGTTTGGGTGCAACTCCATCCAGTCTGTGGGGTCAAAAGAGAGAACATTTAATCAGCAACAACCAAAATCAAAACTCCATTCTATAACAGTAACATCATTCTGAACTTTGTATTCTTTGTTTGAAGTCAGTGATAAAGGGCATTTTGTGTTCAGGGAATTGATATGTGATGGAATAAAGACCATGACAGATAAAAACAGCTATAGTCAATGTCTTGCACCTATTTTGGTACCCTGTGTTCCTTCCTTTGAATTCAGGTCTCAGTTTTACACTGATCATGAGGGAACATCAAGCAACCAAAACAGAGCTCTCAATTCAACAAATGTTTCTCTGGATTTTACTTTTTTTTTTTGCAATTTTGGAAAAAAATTAAAAAACTAGGATGAAATTCATCTGTTTTGGTTGCTAACTTTCAGTAATAATGTCTATTGCTGTCTGCCTTGGAATTCTACCACTGCAAGTTAACAACCACCCCCCTCCCCAGATTTCTAGGATGATGCATAGTAAAAGAGGAAACTATATAATTATGTTTTTCCATCAAGAGGAACGCACCACATAAAAATTGGGTAAATAAGATCCAAACAAAAAAATGAAAGAAAGTCACTGTGATCTCAAGGGAATATCATATATGCCAAGGCTCAGTCAATCTACCAATATTGTAAATTGTACATGAACATGGTAATGTCATAATGGCCTGTTTGCAACGGTATATAGTGTTACAGAATAAAAATTAACACAACGATCAAAAGTTGTAGGTCTTCCTGCTTCTTCTAAAACTAACTACCGCCGATGTCAACTTAATTCTTTAAAGCTTGTTCAATGCGCATCATGCTACTAAAGTTACAGGAGATATATTGCATTTGTTATAACAACTTACTGCGTTTTTATATTCTCAAAATTGGTCCTCAATCTATTGTAATGTGGTCTTTCTGCCTCAGGGCATTTTGTTGCCAGCTTAACCCAATCTGGTACATACTTCCCAATCCTTCTAGCTGCCATTTTGCGATAATACCTCCGACGAGACGGGTAAACGATGTTTCAAGATGGCCGCTGTGCTGTATGTGCTCGAAATGATCCCTGGGATAGAAGTCGAGGTCCCAATCCCGGACGGGTAGTACTACTCGTAGGCAGTAGCAGTAGATATCCTTTTCAATCGTTCCGTTGCATGTTAGGGAGATCTTTAATAAAAATCTTCAATAAGTAAGGATGAGTGCCAAAAAGAAATATCCCAAAGACGCTACAACACCAATAACTGAACTCCGAAATGAGCTTACAATTGACATCGATGTTGGCACTGCAACTGACATTGCAAGAACTCTTCGCCAATGCGACGCTCAGATATTCTCAGGCTGGAAAGACTTTCCAAGTGTCCTTGACGAGAACACCATCGAAGCGATGGATAAAGTAGCAGAGAAAGCAAAGGAGATTTTACGAGACAGCAGTGGAGACAAAGCCATAGTTATCAGCGGTTGTGGTACATCTGGAAGGCTTGCCTATTTTCTGGCTCATAAATTTTCCCAGCTCGCCGAAGCTCAGCAGATCTCAGCGTGTTACGATTATCTTATCGCAGGGGGAGACATTGCCCTGTTTACATCACAAGAAGCGCCAGAAGATGACTGGAAAAGAGGCGAAGAAGATTTAATACACTTGTCTCGCAGTAAAAAACAAGTACTGTTTATCGGTATAACATGTGGTCTTTCTGCGCCTTATGTTGCTGGACAGTTAGACCACTGTATGAGACACCATGATACCTTCATTCCTGTTCTTTTGGGATTCAATCCTGTACATCAGGCAAGGAAAAACCCAATAGAACAATGGGATAAGTCATTTTTTGATGTTGCTAATGCGTTAGAAGGTGAGGAGATTTCCGCCATGGTTTTAAATGGTACTGCCTAAAAAAACTTATCCTCTAGCTCTCCTTCTGAACGCCTTAAAACAGTTGAAGAAACTACATTACCTTGTAAACTGAAGCAATGCATTCACCTTGTCAATTTTTAGCTCACACAATGTAGTATTGCACTGCCAAGGCATTGTACTAGTGTTGTGGAGTTTATAGGCTTCACCCTCTACACCCTAACATCAATATGCATATTCTCCACACTGTTCTCTCTACATTTTCTAAGACACTGATGTGGAGAATTTGTTTAAAAATTAATAGCTGCTTTAGTTGGTGATCCTTTCCTTTATTTTTGTGACCTTCATGTTTGATTCAGGGATGATATTGTAGGGATAAGTTAGATGCCAGTCACTCTTAGTTTCAAAGAGTTAAACTGAAATGTAATAATCATGTGGAGGATTGTATACTTCTCCCAAACTGAACATTATTTACTAAAACACCTCGAGACAAAAATTTCTACAGCTCTTTTGGACAACCAGTTAGTCCTTTTGTGTTATAGTATTGATTAAATTTGCTTATTGTGTTCACAGACTATGACAAAGGAGTCATTCTTAATCCAGTTGTTGGCCCAGAGGCTATTACAGGGTCCTCACGTATGAAGGGAGGAAGTGCCACCAAGATACTTTTGGAGTCTATTTTACTTAAAGCACATGCATCTATATCCCAGCCAAGATCAGTGCTTAACAGACTGACTGAAATTCTCCTGATGTATGAGAACATGTATAGAAGAACTTACTTGAGTTGTTCCAGCATTGCTTGTGCCATTGAGCTGGCTGCTGAGAGCCTCAAGTCTAATGGCCATGTATTCTATATTGGATGGGGATTAAAAGGATTTATGGGTCTTTTGGATGCCTCTGAGTGTGTCCCTACATTTAGTGCTAACTTTGATGATGTGAGAGGCTTCATAGAGGAAGGGTACAGTACTCTTAACAACAGGGAAGGAGAGCTAATGCTTACTGAATCCAAAAAGCTTTGTATTTCATTGGAGGATTTTCAAAGCAATTTTTTGCCTGAACTAACTGTACATGACACAGTAGTATTTATTTTGCCTGACGACAAGGTCTTTCAGGAAGTTACCCAATTGATCCATCTGATCAAAGAGAAAGGCACACAGTTAATTGGCATTATTTTTCAGAAAGAAAGTGAATTAAGTAACCTTTTCAAGAGTTGCGTTCATGTGGAGGGAAATCATTCATCAGGATGCCTCAATGAAGAGGGTTCATCAACTCCAATATTACTCACTGATTTTTTAAACCAGTGTCTTCAGGAGATTTCTATCAAGTGGATTCTTAATGCAATTTCAACAGGAGCCCATGTGTTGAAAGGCAAGGTCTTAAGAGGTCTCATGATTGATGTAAAAGTTAGTAACAACAAGTTGTTCCATCGAGCCATATCTATAGTTTCTACTTTTGCCAGAGTCGATCAGAAATGTGCTTTGCATGCTGTTCTCAAGGCAATATACAGAAGAGATTCCATTAATGATGTTCTCAATCTACAGATTTCTGAGCATGTAGCCAAAGGAACTGTAATGGATCAAGTGGTACCAGTGGCAGTGCTAATAGCTACAGACAAGTTCAGTATTGCATCTGCCGTGGAGGCCCTGAGGACAAGTACTGTTTCCCATATTCTTAAAAGTCTTGGACTTGTAGAGTAATCTGATGTAATAAAAGAATGGAAGATGATCATTTTAAAAATTACCGCACCAATTTGAAGAATGATTAAACAAACTCTTATTAATTAAACCCATTAAGAAGCTCATGTTGGCTTCATGGCTCATAGAGAACTTATAATCACTAACAGTCAATTTTTCACTATTATTTAGAGAAAATTATACTGAAAAAGCAAGGTGAAGTGTGATCATGTACTTTGTAAAAAATAAATACAGATTATGAAATGAGTAAAGTATTATTCAAATAAAAATTATTAACAAGTCAAAAATTAACCTCCAAATAAGACTGTCATATGAAATGCAAAATAATCTTTATTGCACAGATAAATTTAATTTAAATTTGCAAATTTACAGGAATAATTTCTGGATACATTAGCTTGTTCATACATGTAGTTTTACAATACAAACATCTCTTTAAAAATCTCTTAATCTGAAAATTTGAAATTTTGGCTGGACATATTTACTAATTTCTATCTAATATGGACTTAATGTAATTTATTTCAATTAAATTCATAATTTTATAGTCAAGCCATAAATTAGTCTTGTGTAATAACAAATTGAAAATAGTTTCCCTTAATATTTTTTGGTTACTTTCCTTGTGGCTCACTAGTAAGGGAACATGACACAAGATTACCTTTGTATGTGAATTGAGATACAATAAAAATAATTTTTTGAAATGTTTGTTTTACAATAAATATCAATATCACAGGTGGCTCAAAGGCACTTTTCAGTGTAAACTTTAACCTCTTCTTTGATATTGTCTTAACATGGGCTCATTTAGCTTCTATGTAACCCTAGACTACACTATATATAATTATAGCCTCTTTCTCAAATGAGAAGGTTTCTCATAAGAAATAAAGAGTGAGAGGCATCTGAGAAAAAAGACTGTGGAAGACTTTATTTGCAGCTGTTGATCAACAAAAACAAGAAGGATATTTATTTCCTATCATTATTTCCCCTGAAGGCCAGTGTTTGTTATTGCTTTCAAATTCCCTTTGACAGATTATTCTCAAACCAACAAATGGCCAGAAATGTGCCTTTGCGGTTGAAGAGATTATGCATACCCAGCCATAGGAAGGTTCAAAAAAATTTCACATGTTACAGATTTCAAGAGGGAAATGACTATTTATACTAGAAATGTTAGCCTCATGTCTCCCCTTTGCTACTTGCTCAACTAAGAGTCTAAATTATTGTTGAACTTTCATTTGTTACAATTAAGTACCTGTTCATTTCCAGCTACTATAGTATTGGGGGGGGGGGGGGG